AAAGAGAGGTGTCCCTGCTCCTGATATACATCCATAGTTACACCGGGATGGATTAGATCACAGACTCTCCTGTATTTAAATCAGAGCTACTTTACTTCTAGACCAAATTCGTCTACTGCTGCTCCCCTTGTTCATCCACAGGCTTACAAAATCCAAGGAACGATCACATTTGTGCAGCTGAATTGGTAACAAAAACAACAGCACCCTCGAATCAGTGAACTTACTTTCATGTCAAGAAATAGTACAGTAAATAGTGGATTAGAATTTAGCTTTTAAATTGAGATTCTGCTACAGAACTGACCCTATTGTAACATATCCAAGTGAAACTAAAATGATATTATTAAATATTATGAGGGCGCGTAAAAAAAGAAGAAAATAAAATAAAAAATTCCAGTTCTAAGATGATTTATTTATTATTAACTTCTTCCATCTTCCATGGAAAAAGCAAGAATTGTCCATTTTGATTTTATGCTAACTTTTAACTTTATGCATGTGTTTTTAATATTATATTTATACATTATCTAAAGGCTACACAATATTAGGACTGGGTTTGGTTTAGGGTTATTTTGTAATTACTGTTTATTGTTATGTACATGAAACATATGAAACAAAGAAGTGTTACCAAGAGTTGTGTAACGTATCGACAAATGACCGGTTTTACCTAATTGCTATATAGTGGGTTATAGCTGTTAAATCTAGGAAGTCTTTACTCAACATCTGAGTAAACGGAGCGCACAGCATTTTACTGAGTAGATCCTATAGGTTTGTTTTCACAGTGGAGCTACAGAAAGATTCGTCATAATTCTTCAGCAGTCAATGTGATGATAAAAGTCAATAATAGCAGAATCCTTCCCGTGGATCGCTCTCAAAGCTGCTCCACGTACTCCAGTATCCAGAGCCTTGCAGGGCCTTTTTCCAGCCGAGAGCCAACATTTAAACAGAGCAAGTTTGGTGCGCAGTCCCACCCTGCTGCGTTCAGCACCATAGCACACTTTAACAAGCAAACCTGCCTTTGATGCATGTGTGCTAACTGCAGCCCTGCCTGCCGGAGAGACTGCTCCACCTGACCTCAGTGTTTAAAACCACCCACACACACCAAATCCTCTTAGAAACAAGTCCTGAACCTTTCTGTCACAATGTGTGTGTGTTGATGCACAACTTCCTCCACGTGGATTCTGGGACACAGGGCTCCTGCCTTCATGGCTTGGATAAACTGCAGCAGGTCTCATACGGTTCCAGTAAAACTACAAATCAAAATGCAAAGAGAGGTGTCCCTGCTCCTGATATACATCCATAGTTACACCGGGATGGATTAGATCACAGACTCTCCTGTATTTAAATCAGAGCTACTTTACTTCTAGACCAAATTCGTCTACTGCTGCTCCCCTTGTTCATCCACAGGCTTACAAAATCCAAGGAACGATCACATTTGTGCAGCTGAATTGGTAACAAAAACAACAGCACCCTCGAATCAGTGAACTTACTTTCATGTCAAGAAATAGTACAGTAAATAGTGGATTAGAATTTAGCTTTTAAATTGAGATTCTGCTACAGAACTGACCCTATTGTAACATATCCAAGTGAAACTAAAATGATATTATTAAATATTATGAGGGCGCGTAAAAAAAGAAGAAAATAAAATAAAAAATTCCAGTTCTAAGATGATTTATTTATTATTAACTTCTTCCATCTTCCATGGAAAAAGCAAGAATTGTCCATTTTGATTTTATGCTAACTTTTAACTTTATGCATGTGTTTTTAATATTATATTTATACATTATCTAAAGGCTACACAATATCGCCAAAAAAGTACAGTGGAAGTATGACGTCTGCATTCAATGGTATTTATACGGTACTCAAAAAACACGAAGGTATTACCATTGTACTGTACATGCACAAAATTAAAAAAGTACTATTGTGAAACACACACTGTATATTCTAGAACATACTAGGGGTGCAACGGTTCGACTTACTCACGGTTCGGTTTGTATCGCGGTTTTAGAGTCGCGGTACGGTATGTGCTATGTTTAGGGGGAAAACTATATTGTCAAATAAAAATAAAGAAAATAAGAACAAATAATCTAACTACAAGCAACAGCACAAATAAATAAACAGTGCTTTTCAGTTTTTTAAGGTAGGTCTAACAAAGTTTTTAGGTACAGAAATTGAATAAATCAAATGTGAAATAACATTGCATATTTGAATGTATAAATTAAAGATTAAACCTTATTAAAGTTACAAAAGTTATTCAATCAAGAGCAGTGAGAGATTTCCGTGTTGTTGTTGTTTGATTAATATTAAGAAAGTGCTGTCACTTTAAGAGAACGCACTGATCCTGTATGTTCAGCTGACTGTGTCTGCTAGGATACTCACAATGACGGGCATTTTGACATGATTTTTGTGTGAATTTGTCAATTCAAACATGATACTTCACAGAGAGCTTAATATTTGCGCGTGTTCTGAGATGTCGGTTCACGCGCTTCGGATGAGCGCACACACAGATCTTCTCACTGCGCGCGCACGTCTTCTGGCTCTTTAATATTTAAACTGGCAAGGCTTAAAAGAGTTTAGTTTAAACACAGATGGCAACGTGTGCTGTTCAGGTCTCACCTGCGCTATCAACACGTGATGATGGCATAAATGACAGTTATTCCAGCATACAGCACTCGCATTGATTAAAGAGTGACTGGTTTGTCCACGTATTGTTTTTTTTCTCTCTTTCGTCGCTCTTGTTGTAATGTATTGGGAAGTCAGAATATGTATCCATCAAGAAACACGCATTAGTCGAACTCTAACAAACCATATTACAGATGCATTGTCAGATTTAAGTTGAACCGCGGTCCTAGTGTATGCCGAACCGTGTGTGGAGAACCGTACGGTTTGATTGTTTACCGAGAACCATTGCACCCCTAGAACATAGTGTTTTTGTCATCCAGAAGGTCCTGCCAATTATGGTCCAAACAGCTTTCCACATCGTTTCTTGCTCTGAAGATAAAATTAAAATGCAACATTTTCCCAGGACAATACCATTTAAAGTTGGGTGAAAGGGTACATTTTTTTAATTAGACAGTGCTACTTTCTATTGATACTAGAAGGGATTACAAAATATTGAAAAATAACTTTTCTGACTGAGATTTTTCACTGAGATTTGGGATGAAACTTCACCAAAGAGTACTGTGGTGGTTCCATGGTACAGTGATCGTATCAGATGGTAACCATGTTACTGAATGACTACAACGTACCGTTTACTTCTAGGTACTTTAAAGACATCACACAATGGTACAGTACCAAAAAGAAGTATAATGATAAAGCAGCAGCATTTTGCTGCCTACTGTCTGAAACAGCCTTCAGGTGTGAAATGTTGCTGAGGTAGGCACCTCTCATGTGGAACAGCGCTAATATCAGTTGTTATACATCCACCCCACACTTGGGGATTTTTGTGACAGGTAAGGAGAAATTCGAAGCCTTGAGGGCATAAGCGCTCTCGATGTACAATGACCTGGCTTGTTTTTGTCTTTCCCATACAGTACGGCAGGAATGAGTACAGGGACATCCCGCGGTAAAGGCGTCTGACTGTTATGAGAGGAATGCCGAGCTGAGGGATCAGAGGAGCGCTGGGATGTGGAGGGGGTTAGGCATGATCAAACACGGCACACAGGTACGCCAGCGCTTCTCAGATAAAAGCAGCCCTGTCTTTACACATTTACTCCATTAAAAGCTTTCCATCATGACACACCTCCCTACATGTAAAGCTACGAGACACATCTGTGTGTGAACAAGACACCTGATCTGCTAACAAGAGGCTTTCAGAGCAGAGACGGAGACACAATGACGTGGACGCCATCAGCAAGAAAGACACTCGATTGAGTTTTAGAGACGATTTTAGTCTGCCTCTCATAACGCACGTGCATCGCTGCAACAAGTCTACATGTTCTGCTGAAGAAAAGAGGAAGTGAAACGGAGACAGAGGCCACAGGTCAGACTGGTTCGGTGTAGCAGTGTGTCTTTCAGAGAAAACGTGTGTGCCAGGACAGATGACAGGCATTTACACAAAGACAATGCACATACCTGTCTGTCACACACTGTCAGCAGGTTTTATTTTTGGCTATCATAACAAATTACTGTCATATTTCAACAGGTTCGAGCAGCAGTAGGCAGTAACCCCTCAGTGTATCTTACAAGCACATGTAGTCTCCTGTGATTTGAATTAACCTCATTAGCTAATGCTAATTCCTGCCTTTTGGCACTAAGAAATGCTATTCAAGATAAAAGCTTTTTTTTTTTTTTACTTTAAGGACAAAACTCTAAACAGTCTATGATATGTACTTGTACAGATAGATGGATGGATGGATGGATGGATAGTAGAGTTGCATCCATTCCTTGCTCTCAAATCATCCATCACCCTGCCTCGATATACAGAGCTATCATAAAGTACATAAGTAACTATCATGACCTTCCGTTAAACAGGAACAAAAACATAATTTGCTTTCATGAACAAAGTTTGTCTGAAGCTGACACCAGCAGTAAGAGTGAGAAAACTTCTTGACCCGTTCATATTGTGCTATCATTTCCTGGTAAAGTTCTTATCTAGTCCTTGTTCCCTTATAGTATGGCTTTGCTATTAAGGGCAGGTCATTACGCGGTCCATGGTGCTTAGCCGAGGGGTCATATTCCACAAAGATCGAAGGCTGTCCATTAAACGGGCCTCAAAATGGTCGAATAAGCAAAATACGTACTCGGTGTTAAATCCGCTAACTTCTTCCCTCCCTTTTTTCTCTCAAAGAATTCATAAATAAATACACATTTCAAGTGGTGACAGATCAGAATTGCAGCAGGCAGCAAATATTCCCCCTCCCAAATATATGGCACATTAGTTCTGCATATTTAGACAAAAAGATATTCCAAAAACCCTTTCAGCCCCTTAAAAATTTAACACATCTTTAAGCAGAGATCTGAAGAGGAAGTGACCTTTGACCCTTGAGGTGGGCTACTGTACTCACCCCATAACATGAGCCCGAGCTTGAAACTCGCACAGGGGCCCTCGGAGGATAACAGCCACCTTCGGAGACCGGACATGGGGAAGTTCCAGCCTATTAAGCCAGGAGTCCCACGGAGAGGCTCATTTGGGGCTGGGAGAATGAGAACGCCGCACGGGAGAGGGGCAGTGAAATGGATCCGTCCAGACCGCTAATGCTAGAGGTGGGCAAAAGCAGCTAACCGGGTGCGAGGACACATGGTTTGAATTTGGTCCCGTGTCGTAACAGGAGGAGAGAGCCGACTGGCAGCAGAAACCCTCCGACGCTCGTTTCCGACTTCTGGAGAAAGACGATCCTTCCCTGCAAAGCCTTCTGTAGAGTTTCCCTATCCCTCCCCATCTCCTGAGTCCGCCGCTCAAGATTATATCCAATCGGCTCGTCATCAGGCTGAAACAGAGCGGCCTTTGAGTGTCTGAAGAGGGTCCGAGCGAAGACATTCGGCCTCCATCACGAAGCCCCGGCCGTCAGCTCGGGTGACAAGCACATCAGGGCTTTTCCTTTCTTCAGGAAGCGCGACGCGAAGTCAGGGTGGACCCACTGTGGCAAGGGCAGAAACAGAAGGGATACATTACTAACCCTTCTAGAAACTGAATCTGGCAGTGAAAAACAGATGCACATACGTCTAGGTAAATGACAGATCTGTTGTGGAGAGATAGAGCGTCTCAATCGTCATTTAGTGAACTTAAGAAATATTCCAAATTCCAGCTTCAGTGCTGCAGCCATTGAAGCTGGTAGCCCAAGACAGTGATTTCCAAAGCACTTTTTGCATGTCTCCTTGATCAAACACATCTGATTCAACTCATTAGTAGAGACTCCAAGACCTGAAATGGATGGGTCAGGGAGACACAAAAAATGCGTACTACTGGGGAGGGGACCTCCAGGAATAGGGTTGGGAAACACTGGCCTGCAGAGTTTTTAAAGATTTATTATTGGCATTTTCACCTTTATTATGATAGCACAGATCAGAACTGACAGGAAGCAAAGTGGAAGAGAGATAGGGGGCGGGATTGGGAAAAGTCCTCGATTTGGGATTCGAACTCGGGATGCCCAAAGCATAAAGGCACTGTATGTCGGCACGCTGCCCACATGGTTATCAGTGTTGACCTGGCCTGCAGAGTTGGAACAGTTCTTTTAACTCAGGGGTGTCCAATCTCGGTCCTGGAGGGCCAGTGCCCTGCATGGTTTAGGTTCAACTTGCCTTAGCACATCTGCTAGGAAGTTTCTAGCATGCCTAGTAAGACCCTGATTAGCTGGTTTAAGGTGTGTTTAATTGGGGTTAGAGATAAACTCTGCAGGACACTGGAACAGGATTGGATGCCCCTGTTTTAACTTAATTTGATTTCTATCCTTTTAACCAGTTTTATTGATAGGTTCAGTAGAAAGACAAGACAGGAAAATTATGACGAGAGAACAGGATTGAGTAATGTTGTCACCAACTCTTGCACCACGGCTAAATAAGTTGAAGAACACCTGGCCTGTGACTTTTCAAGGGATCTTGAAGACCTTGATTAGCTGGTTAAGGTGTGTTTGATTAGGGTTGGACCTGAACTCTGCAGGACAGTGGGTCCCCAGGAGCAGGGTTGAAGATCTACGGGTTGGAGCACCTGCAACTGCTTGACCAGAGATGGGTAAGTCCAGTCCTGGAGGCCCACTGTCCTGCAGCTTTTAGCTTCATCCTCAATCAAATACAGCTGAAAAATCTAACCAAAGACCTCACTAGAAAATTACAGGCAGGTGTGTTCAATTAGCAATAGGGCTAAACTCTGCAGGGCAGTGGCGCTCTAGGACTGGACTTGCCCACTTAAACCAGCAGAAAGCAGAAAGCTCAGCTGAGACCACGAAGCTCAGATGAGTTTTTGAACTGTAGGAATTACCACAATTACCTGACTCAAACGTTTTGTTTCACGCACATTATGCAAAAATAATCTTGTGTTACTAAAACTTTCTCAGTAGTAAGATTATAGGAAATATCAAAGACCTTGTACTGCTGAAGCCACTGCCATGTTAGTTTTAGTTCTTGCAGGAGAAAGGAGGAGGAGTAGCTTTCAGAAAATTGGCAGCAAGGTGAGGTGGTCATTGAGTTAAAATGAAGCTTTACCGCAGCGGGAGGGCAGGTGGCTGAGGAATGTACTAGTTAAATTCACATACAGCATACAGTACAGTAGAGAGCTAAACACGGATGAACTGTTAGGAACCTACACACACGAACACATCTGAGTACTTCAGCACACCATCAGTGCCAAGTCAAACCCATTCCTGGCCTGATCCTAAACCGGGTTGAACTGGATCCTGGCACAGCAGAATCTTCACCCTCGTCTCAGTTACACTGTCTCTGTGCTTTGCATGTTGAACAAGATGCAGCACGCTCATTCTGAGCTTATGAAGAAGTGGAAAGATTAACTTTATTTTGAATTCCTTCCTCTTAATATAGCAATTACCCCCCTCGCCCCACCTCACCACAGCACCGGGCCTGTTCCCAACATTGAGAGTATTTGTTTTGTACACAGAAAGCATTTCATGCTTACTCTCCAAAAATCCTAATCTTCAGAGCAGCATGGCTCTACTCATTTCTGACGACTGCTGCACAAAACGCAAGCCATTTCCAAAGTGCAGTGCAAGAATGTGCTCTAGTCTAGTTCTCAAGGAATAAATCATTATGCATCTCATTTTAAGTTCTTCTTCCTCATTGTGATTAATTTCTACTGAAGTGTGGATCTAGATCAAATCAGCAGAGCTCAGGTTTTACCTTTAACACGTCATGTGAGAGATCACTTGATAGAAACTCCACTTGTGGAAAGAAATGTCTATTTGTTGTATTTCTCAAAATATCTGAACGTCAGGAGTGGGAGTCAGGGCTGGAGTGGAGCCCATTTCGAGCGCAGGAGTTTCATGCCCAAGGACAGCTCCTGTTACACCCTCTATCCCACGCTTACCATTTTCTTAGCAGTAGAAGAATTTGGATAAATGAAAATGATCCTGTTATATATTACCCATATGTTTCTACAAGAATTCAAATGACTGAGAGCGTGATATCTGTTGTTTGGAGTTTGGGTGTACGAGCACCCACTGACACTGTCTGTCATTTCACACAACAAGAGTAAGTGTCTAGTTTATTTTCAAAGTGGCACTGGCAGCCCAATTTATGGACGACCCGCCGGGAATTCTCCTGATTAGCCACTCTGGGCCTGGGGGAGTAAAGACAACAGGATTTTTATTTTTGGGCGAACTATTCCTTTAAGTATTTTAGCACAGACAAGACTTGCAGAAAGAAAATGTAAATATTGTGTCCACAAATCAAGGATTTGTTCCCTTGACATATTATTAATCTGTTCCCTTATTTTAGTTAAATTGTCGCCAAGCCGTTCTTATTCGCATTTTTAGCACTCGACTCTACTGTATTTCAAGTCCCAACCTGCCTGATAAATACTAAAACTTTCTTGGGAGAGGAAGTCCTTCTGATACCCGGTTTTGTTTTTACAAATTTGCATGCTTGATCCCAAGTCTTCTCCAGCCAAAATTAGTCTCAATTCAATAACTTACATTAACGAAAGTCCAAGAAAATCAACCAAACAAAAAGGAAATGAATTCTTAAATACGGCTGGCTACTTCCCGTCAACTGGGTAAAAATATCTCTTAGAAGTGATGTGAAGGGAGCGAGGGTCTCTGCGATTGCTCCAACACAAACCCTGTGCTATCTGGCACTATCGAGGTACTGATCCCTTGGGTCGGTCGCAGGAAGAACCCCGCAGCGGGGATGCTGAACTTCCTCTACCATTGACCTCTCACACACACAGCCGTCTTCCCATTTATCGATGTAGTTTTTAATATTAACACTATTCTGCTGTGCACACTAAATATAAATACAAACTTTGGTGACATCTATAAAAACAAAATACGGCACTAAACAATGACACAGGAAGCAGGGCCGCCCACAGTCTCTCAAGCAAGACGGGTGAAAAGTTGAAGCTTGTGAATGTCTTGATTTACAGGTGTGCTCCGTTTCAGCTTACAGATTTTGTTGTGTGCACATCAGTTGTAATGCAAGATGTAAAATGTTCAGACGCATGGCAGTGATCTAGACTTTGTAACCGAATGCGTTTCCTCTTCCACACTAATTTCCAAGCTCGGAGACAGGGAAAAAAGGCAGCATTTCTCACCGTCCCGATTTTTTTTTAAAGCTTTTTTAACATCGTCTCAGATTTGAACTAATTTTTATTATGTTTGAACTTTGCCGTGGTCCTTCCCTCTCTTCTTTTTTGTCTGACTCTCAGATGAACTGCTCGTCACAAACACTAAACAATAGTGTCATTAAGCAGCGCGGCCGCAGAGACGCGTAATTAGGTTAAAACAAAGTGGAAACTCCGCTTCCAGGGAAAGTCCAGAGTTGGTGCGACTGTAAAATGAAAACTGAGCTGCATCCATTTTTGACAGATTGGTACAGACGGGGTAATTCAACACAGTTTTTTGTCCATGCTTTCCATGTGCACATATCATATTCAGAAGAGCAAGCATCAGAAGAAAAGGCCCTTTCCGTTCACAACAATGACAGAACTGTTCTCAAGGCTTTATGTAATACAAAGGCCTCTACGGGGGGTGCGGGGAGAAGCACTTTAATGTGCCACTGCCTCTCTCTTCCTTCCAGCGCGGAGAACACACACTTACTGCAACATCTGACTCACCACCGCCACACAACACCTGCATGAGGAAGAGAAGATTAAAAACAGGAGCTTCAGCGATATCATCCCATCTGTACGCAGTCATTTGCATTTCAGTAAACAGATCCAGCATGACGCTGGGAGACAAAGCTGAAAGGTTTACAGTTCCAGTTATGAACTGGCGAAGCTAATGCAGTGTAAACGAGAGAAACACCGAATCAGTCGTTTACCAACACGAGAGATAATGGCTGAGAAATAAACGCGCTTTATTAGAGACGTCGAGAGCGTTTAATGTCAAAATACTTCAAACTGTTAATCGAATGAAGATGGGCACCCGGGACGCTTTATTCTTCACACATTTGTGCAGCAGATGTCTCCAGCACAGCAAATCATGGTTTGCTTTTTGCCCAACAGCAAGATGGATCACATGTTTTTATGACAGCTCATACATGGATGGAAACAAACAAAAAACTGAACTGTGACCTCAGCATGGAGACTGTTTGCAGGAAGGATCTGGGCCTTTTAGTCCCTGCGACTGCTCGAGTTGGGACAGACGGGGATCCATGATATATATTGAATATATTGTTATATTGAATTTTATGGTATATCAAAAATGAATTAATTGAAATAGGCTTATGGTCCAGGTTGTCATATGCACCGTTAATGCAAAATGTATGGAAATCCAGAGAAAAGATTACAAATAATAAACAAAAATACACTAAAATTACTGTATATGACTACTAAATAGGGATGTAACAATGCACCCCGAGCCGGTTGAAATTCAATACAAATATGTGACGATTCAAGTTGTTTAAGATGTTAAACGAATCGTGATACATTTGGGGGTGGGAGTTTAAATCAGTGTATCACTGAGGAGAACTG